GAGTTAAAGGGTTCCCAATTTGCTCATCAAAATGCCAGCAGGGGCTACGAGGTGGGGGTAAAGTGAAGGAAAGTAAGGTTTGGGGAAATGATAGCTGTCAGCAAGTCCGGGGGGGACAGACCAGGTGGCTTACGTTGAGGAAGAGCAGACAAGAGTTTGATGCATGAGGAAGGGGTAAAAGGGATCAAAATGGGTGGGAGTACCCTGTTTAAAACATGGGGGGGGAGGAAGTGGAAAACCCCAACTGATCTGTGGGAGCACAGTGAGCCCCCCCAGGGAAAATGGCGGGCATTAAAATTGCCATGAAATAGAAGTGGGGGCCCGGAAAGGAAGAAACCCAGAAATGCAACATCTGTGATGGATGGGCCGAGGAGAGAGATACAAAGGAACGACGTAAACCACTTATTAAAAGTGGATAGGGCTGCAGTGTAATGCCCCCGAAGTATGAAAAAAGAGTTTTACAGTGTGGAATACGGGGGTTTTTTTATGAAGTCATTTTCATTAAAGGTTTCCCTGGGGGAAAAGGCCCTAGAATGTAATAAATCAATCCTGAATGGGTGGATAACACTGGAGCATAATTTGGGTAATTGTAAAAAAAACGAAAACAGGGGAAAACTGGGAGCAACACATAAGCTCACCCAGTTACCCTGGGGCTGAAAATTTTCGTGTAAAAAAATCTGATTTGTGAAGAGAAAGATAATAGAAATTGAAGGTAGGGATATCTAGGATACAGTGGTTACCTGGGGTTAACTTATTCTTTCCAAAAGGTTGTTCGAGTGCTTATGCGGAACAAATTTGTTCCTATAAGGAATAATGTAAATTAGATTAATCCGTTTCAGACCCCAAAAAATACACTTACAAAAGCACTTACATAAATAAACTTGCATAATTGTTGGTGTTTTGGGGGTTCTTTCCCCGATTACCACTGATTTTCGGTTGAAAAGTCTACGTGTGGAGGCAGCAGAAAACTTTTAAGCAGCGAAGAAAGGAGTTGTACAGACAGAGAAGAGTGAAGAGGATGAATAGGAGGTGGACCGGTGTCCATCAATGGTCTAGTCTCTGTAATATATTCTGGGATAACTTTATGTGTTTCAGAGGACAAAAAATTGTTTGTGGTACAAAATTTCGTGGGGAAAAAAGAGGGGGATAAAAATTGGGGGGGCGGAACTGACCCAAATAGGGAGGGCGAAAGGGTAGAGGGAACTGGGGAAGAAGCTTTGGGTGGGGGAAAAGGAAACAACTTGGGAAAGGGGCAGGGAAGAAGGGGACTGTTTTAGGAGGAAAATAATCTTCACACTCATAAAAAAGCCAGTTACACAAAAAACTCAAATAGAAGAAGAAGTTCGACATTTCGGTCCAACTTGGGCCCATTTACAAAGTCACACTAACAAGGAGACAGGTGGGTATAAAAAAGGCAGGGGGGGTAGTAATAGTAGGGGTATAGCGGGGGCAGAAGGAAGTAGTAGGGGGGAGGTAGTAAGAGTAGGGGGCCATCAAATACTAAAAAAAAAGAGCACTGCGGGGGAGTGGTGCCCACAGAGGGTAAAAGCAAGAAAACTGGGGGGGGAAAACAAAAAATAAGAAAATAAAAAAGGGAACAAATAACAGGCAGAAGAAAGACAACCCAAAGGGAAAGGGGAAAAGGAAAGGGAAAGAGGGGAGAAGAAGAAAAAAAGGAGGAATCGGGTTGGGTCAAAAGTGTTCTGAATTTTGAGTATTTTACAATGATGGGAGGGAAGGTATTCAGAGACGAAGCGGGGGACTAAGTTTCATACAGGAAAGTTGTGTATTAGGGGGGATTAACCAACGGTGACTGTTAAAGTTAAGCCCCGTCAGTAGGATAGCTGGATTTTGTGGACAAAAAAGAGCTTTGTTAGTGTCGCAAGCTAACACTATTTTTGTGCTCCTAAGTCTGTCAAAAGAGATCGACAGTTTCCCCAAACTATTGAAGAGGAAAAGGAGGAACAAGAAAGAGTAGACACCAGGAGCATTTAAGGAGGAGAGGTTGAGAATTAGAAAGATCAAAAATGAGGGAAGGGAGAGGTCGAAGGTTCCAGGGTAGAGGTTTGGGGGGAGAAGAAATTACATTTAGCAAATAAAAGGGCAGAGTCTATGAAATGGGAAGGGTAGCCAAAACAAGAAAATGAATTATGAAGAGTGGAAATTTCTGACTGAAGGAACTGAGCATCACATATGAGGAGAGCATGGCCTCATGACTCTTGTCTCTTCCAACCATTTCTTGATGCTCTTAATAATCTTGCCCCTTCCATTAACCTGTAAACAGTCCAAGCAGATCTACGTTCACATGCGTAGTGCTACAAAAGTAGATCTAAGTGCTACAAAAGTAGATCTAATTTTTTTTTACATATTTTCAAATATAATCAAAAAGAAAAAGTAGATCAAAGATTTTTACACATTTTCAAATGTAGAAAAACAAAAAGAAGATCTACTTTTTTTACATACACTTTCAAATGTTGAAAAAACGTATATATATGTTTGGGCCGTTTACGGGTTAAGTTTAAAGCTGAATGGGAATCTAATTCCTTGCTTCCTTTTCTTGATGTTTATGTCCACCACTCAGATACAGGTTTTTGCCTTTTCCGTTTACCACAAGCCTATGCACAGTGGCATGTACATTCATTACTTTTTTTATCATGCTTCCTCTGTCAAGAAGTGTTCTTATCTCCCTCTTTCTCCGTGCTCTCCGCATAAGTGATCCTCAGTTCCTTCAATCAGAAATTTCCACTCTTCATAATTCATTTTTCCATCTTGGCCACCCTTCCCATTTCATAGACTCTGCCTTCACACATACTAAACCACCATTTTCTCTCTCTCTCTCTCCCAAACTCTCTATCTCCTGGGAACTCATCTGTCTACTGCCTTCCCCTACATTTCCGGCCCCTTTCTTAATCTCAACAACTCTCTCCGTTCCTTAGACACCAAAGCTTACTTTCCGCCAGACAAACACTCTTTGGGCACTAATCACGTTCGATAACCTCTCCTCCCTCTACAGATGCTCCTGGTGTCCCTACTCTTTCTTGTTCCTTCCTACCTCTCAATGTTTGGAGAAACTGGACGATCTCTTTCTGACAGACTTAGGGAGCATAAAAATTGTGTTAGGCTTGCCGACACTAACAAAGCACTTTTGCACGTCAGAGGATCACAGCTAACCTACTGACTGGTCTTCTGCTAAAACTGTCTTCCTACTTCCAACTTTAAACAGCACTGTCTGTTAATCCTCCCTAATACACAACGTGGGGGGGGGGGGGGTCTTTGTATGACTCTAGTCCTGGCTTCGTCCTCTGTAGATGCCCGCCTCTCTACCACTACATTGTTAAAAATGCTCCAAACTTTCAGAAACACATTGTGACTAGCCTGATTCCTCCTTTTTTCTTCTTTCTCCCCTCTTTTTTCCCCCTTTCCTTTTTTCCTCTTTCCCTTTGGGTTTGTCCTTGTCTCTGTCCTGTTTATTTTTTTCCTTCTTTATTTACTTATTTATTTGTTTTCTCCCCCCTCCTCGGTGATCTTGCTCTTACCCACTGTGGGCACCAGCTCCCTCGCAGTGCACTTCTAAGTATATTGACAGGCCACTCCTACCTTACTACCTCCCCACTACACTTCCTACCACCTCCACTACAACCACTACTTACTACTACTTACCACCTCCTGCCTATATATACCCATCCTGCTCATCCTTCTTGTTAGAGTGACTTGTAAATGGTATAAAGTCACCGAAATGTCGTCGTAGCTCCTCTCATCTAATGCGGATATTTGTGTATCGATCCAGTCATGGTATTGTGCCTTTTTGGTTATTTATATAAACCCTTAAATGGTCCAAACGAATATATACGTTTTTTCAACATCTGAAAGTAGATGTAAAAAAAATGTAGATCTATATTTGTGTTTACATTTGAAAATGAGTAAAAAAAACTTTTATCTACACTTTTTTTTGTTATATTTGAAAACCAAACGCAAAAAAAGTAGATCTACTTTTGTAGCACTATAATTTGTAGTGAACTGTTTGGACCGTGTTAAGGGATGTTAAAGCCATTAGCTGGATACAGAACTGGTTACAGGAGATTGGGAAGGACAAATGTGCAGGTTGCAGGAGATTTTATGTTAACAATGGGGATGTTTTGGGCATGGGCAAGGAGAGGGGTAATGGGAGTAGTGTTGTATGAAGGTTCTTTGAGACACAGCAAACTTGCGAGTGATAAGAGGATTAGAATGTGGAACAGAATGAGGTGCCGAGGTAGAAGACACTATGTCCAGCACAGCAAAAGAATTTAAGACAGGGGGTGACTGTGGAAGGGTGACCCCAGAGAGGAGCTAACAAATTGGAACACCAGAGGAGGTGGAGGATGTTTAGGTAACTCGAGAAAATAATTACGGGGAAGTTTCCTTCGATGGAGGCGTGATGAGAGACTGCATAGCAAAAGGGGAGGCCTTCGTGCATCTTTGAGACACCAGATTTCAAGCTCATATAAATAAACTTGCAGCAGCGAGAGTACGATGGGTGAGCTCATGATATTAAGGCAAAAGAGGGAAGGTATACTACATGACGATTGGCATGGTCGTCAGCAACCACAGACTGGGCCATTCTGCCATGGACCTGCAATATTTTGCTGGATGACAAAATGCCAGGACTTTCTTCATCTGAGGATGTAAACACATGGCAGTCAAAAGTTAACAAGCTACACTGCAAGGTATCGTCTCCACCCGTGTGCAGGGAGACATAGTGTCCTTACATTGAGGATGAAGGTCTTGGATTTCTAGCAGTTCCAATAATATTATAATCAAAAGAAGCTCAAAGACCACACGGGCTATACAGCGCTGCAGGTAGGGAAAGAAGCGAGGGGTATTGGATGGCAGAAGGGAGCGGAGGATGATCAGCAGGTACATGAAAACCAGCGTGCAGGATAGTACGGGGGTAGAGGTAAGCAAAGATTGAAGTAGAAAGGCTGAAGTATCAGAATTTGTGAAGTAATTCAGTTGATGTCAAAAGTCAATGAGAAGTCCTGGAAGAAGGTGGTCATCAGCGAGAAAGGGAAAGGTAAAGAGAGTATCAGAGCGAAGACGACGACAGGAAGGTTAAATACTGCGTTCTCGTTGGATAAGTGGCAGTCCAACAGAATGTTGCAGACTGATAAATGGAGTGAGCATGGCAATTCTCACAGAGAGGAGCAGGACCCTCTCCATGAGATATCCATGAGTACGACAATATGCCAATGCGAAGACGGGAGAGAGAAGTCTCCCAGACCTCGACACTGGTGAAAAGAGAGACGGGGCAGTAACCTATACTCGGTTTAATAGATTGAAGTTTGTTGCCAGAGCATAGTAGAACAACGTTGTTGCCAACGGTGTGAAGGTGGGATGATAATTGCAGCAAAATAGTCCGTAAATGGAATACCTCTTAAGAAACTGGTAGTCATGTACTGCTGACCGCGCAGCAGTGTCTGCCTGTCAATTGCCCTGTACGTCAACATACCTAGGGACCCAACAAAAAACAATATTCTTAATGCTTGTAAAGATGCGGCGTAGCCAAAGTTGGATACGGAAAGGGACTAGAGGTGAGGTGTATCGAATTTTTGTTATAGCCTGTAAAGCACTAAAGGAGTCGATGACAACCACAAATGATGAACACAGGCATAGATGCAATATGATAAGTGCTGTAAAGGGTGTGCATACAATTCAGCAGTAAAAAACAAAGCCAAGATTGTAAATGCCCTTACGAGCGCTGTCCGGAAACACTGCTGCGAATTCCTACCCGTCCAGAAGACTAGAGCCATCTGTGTACATGGCATGGCATGAGAATGAGAGTGAAAGTGGTCAAGAAAAGAGAGCGGGAAGCGACCGTAGACAGTTGGGCTTTTGAGCAAGAGAGGGATAAAGAACAGACTCGAACAGCTGGAACTTCCCAGGGGGGTAGGGAAAAGTGATATCAACATGTACATAGAAAGGTGATACTGAAGAGAAGACAAGAGCGAATGAAGGCGAAGGAGAGAAGGACGGAGTAAACAGGGGCGGCGAACAAATAAAGAATGTCTACTATATCAAGTGACGCATTCTATAAATGGAAGGATTGCGGAGATCTGATAAGCGTACAAAGTACGCAGGCAATGGCATCACGGCGATCGGATAAGGATGAACGTCGCTATTCTGTATAGAGGCTCCTCGACATGGGAAGAGCGAAAAGCACCAAGGCAATAAACTAATCCTTGGTGATGAATGGGGTTTAAGGCTAGAGAGAGTACAGGAGATGCCGCTGAAATAGATCTGCCCCACCATAATCAAGTTTCCGATAAATAAGGGTGAATGTGGCCGGGAGGAAGGTTCGACGATCCAGCTTCCCCATGAAAGATGAGCAGGGTTTTTAAGTATAGGTTCAACCGGCTGTGACAAGTTGCCTTCAAGAGGTTAATGTGAGGTTATTCCTATAGGATAACCTACAGATACAAAGAGGAGGCCCAAAACTTGACTGTATCACGTTTCAGGATACGGGAGCCATTGATGTACAAGGATGATCGGAGATGACAGAGCTCTAGTTGACAGTAATTTGATGGGTTTTAGTGCTGGAAAAATTAAAACCCACGTTGGGTGGCCCGAAATGGAAACACGGTCGAGCTGCATGTTGGAGAGAAACTGTAATGAGCGACAGTCAGTGCCTGCACAGGCAATAGCGAAGTCTTCAACATAAGAGTGATGACCAAATATTTAATGTAAACTAGAGCCAAATCAATTAATACAAGGAGAAAAAGTGTGTGCTCCAAACACAAATCCCGGGGACACTGTCAGCTTTGGATAACAGTCCGGGGAGAGCACCATTATTAACCCGAACATGGAGATCCCTTCAGTTAAAAAGTTATTACAGGAAGGAATGTTAGATTGCCTCGAAGGCCTAAGAGTGGCTTGGGGCTAAAATAATATACCTCCAAGTTGTGTCAATAGGCCTTCTCAAGGTCGACAAAAAATATGACAATAACGGTGTTATTTGCAAAGGCATTACGAACAAACGTATCCAAGTGTAGTACGGGTCTATGGTAGAACGTCCCTTAACGAAAGGCCATATAGACAGTGGAGGAGACTGTCATGTGTCTCTCCCTAAATACCACACTAACCGACCTATATACTAGCGTTTCCATTACTTTGCAAACTGCACTGGTAAGAGCAATGACGATAGTGGGGGAGGTTTCATGTCTCCGTAGTGCCTGGTTATGCGGAAAGGGAAGAACAATGGCGGATTTCCAACAGCTGTGGAAGAACTCCTTGTGACCAAATAGATGTAAAGGCTAATAGGACTGCAAGGGCTGAATGAAGTAAATGTTGTAGCATACGAATATGATGTCAGTCGGGCCCAGCTCCAATGATCCAAGCTTGAGAGGGTGTTGCCTCCAGTTCTTGAAGTGTAAAAGGCACATTATCTGTTTCTTCTCGGAGAGAAAAAAGTCCAAGGGTGCCAACTCTCTGCAGACTTTGAGGAAAGAAATGAGGGCAAGATGGAGTCCCTGAGAAATACGGACCAGATGATTGCCAATTTCATTGGCAAACATCTAGTTGGGTTGCTATAACAACACCGGCAACCCTCAGAACAACAGAGCGGGTCAGGAGAATATTTTACCACTCAGTTTTCGTACTTTTATCCAGACTGCACTCATAGAGGAAGCAGAGGAGATGGGTGGGAGACATAATCTCGCCAGCAAGTGCGATTTCGCATCACGGATTGACACGGCGAGCGATCGCACGCTTCTGTTTGAAAAATCAAGGAGTCACTCTGTGGTTCTATTGTACCGTACCCTTCTCCCATGCAGCAACGTATCAAACGTACTGCACGAGCACAAGCAGGAACCACCAAGACACGCATTCTGAGAAAGGAGCCGTGCCCGAAGTTTGGGGTTAGAATGAGAAGCTGCGTTAAAACGGAGGAGGGAAGAGGTGTAAAAGCTCATCGATTGAGGACGAAGAAGGAACCTCACTAAAAACAGTTAGTGTGAGTAAAGTTTCCAATTTGCCCGATCAAATTGTGGCCAGCGTGGGATGCGAAGAGGTGGTAATATGAAGGGGAAAGTAAGATGATTGGGGAAATAACCGCGTCAGGTTAGTCCGGGACACACAACAGATCCAAGTGAAGTCTAAAGCGGTGGAGGAAGACAGACTGAGAAATCGATGCAAGATAGAGTATGATCCGAGGATCAAAATGGGGTGTGGCGTACCTTATTTAAAACATGGAGTGGGTGGGTGGCAAGAAAAGCCTCAAACAGAATTCCATCGGGAATCACAGGAGACCCCCCACAGAGGAATATGTGTGGGCATTACAATCACCAAGTAACAGAATCGGTGGCGGTAATGACGAAACAGAATGGCAATATCCGGAACTTGATAATGCCCGAAAGAGAGAATATAAAGAACTGAGCGTATACCACCTATGCAATTGGAACGGCTGCGTGTAATGCAGCGAAGTTAATGAACAAATAGCCTGATTGTACGAATTCATGCTAGAAAGAATTGCACTTTCAAATAAGGGTCCCCATCAGGAAAAGGATCTTGAAGAATACAATAAATTAAAAGTCCTAGATGGAGAGATTAACAGCATGAGTGTAATTTTGGGTTCCTGTAAGCAAACACCAACAGGGGCAAACTGGAGAGTACATCTGAACTCACTCCAATTAACCCTGATGCCGCTTATATTCCACTGATATAGGCCATGATTGGCTGTTAAAGATACTTGAAATCCGCAGGTAAGGTTCCAACGGACTAGAGGGTTAAAAAGTCCACAATGCGTAGCAGTGGAAACTTTCAAGCAGTGAAAGGAACGGTGTCCCTGTGAATAAAGGAGTTGCGCAGGATGGAGGAAGAGGAGAGAGAAGAACAGAGGTGGATCATGTCCATAGATGGTTTGGTCTCTGCAATATATCATTAGATTGCCTTCAAAAGTGTTTTCGGAATTCAGAGACCAGTCGTAAGGGAGACAATATTGGAAAATGGGTAGGGGAGGATGAGTAATAGATTGGAACTGGGTATTGGAGCTGTAGCCAAGGTAGGGGGGGGCGAAAGGGGTGGAGGGAACTGGAGAAGCGTGGAAGGACAAAAAGGCAGAACCTGGAGGTGGCAGAAGAGGAAGAAACCTGGAGTGAATCAGGGGAGAAGGTACATTACAGAGGAGGAGGGTGAACCTCTATACTTGTAACAGAGCCATTTATAGGGGAAGAACCAAGGACAGAGACAGGAGGTTAAAAGAGGAGGTTGGAAGATGGTCAGGAGGTGTTAACGGACCTTATTTTGACTTTTGAGAAGTAGAGGGACATTGGGATGAGTGTCATACGAGGATTTCTTCGTTACTGAGGCTTGTGAGAGAGAACACGAAGAAGCGAGATCATACTAGAGCGTTGAAGTAGTGGACGGCTGAGCCGAGACAGCAAAAGGATTAGATAAAGGAGTACTATGGCAGAGGTAATCACAGATGTGGGTGTAATGGATGGGATACCAAAAGTGGGGAACGTTTTGAAACACGGATAAGAAACACGTGGGAGTCTCCCCTTGGAGGCGGAGATTGCGCAGACACTGCCATGGCATAAGGGATACCTTTAATTTTTTTTTTTTCCCCCTGTCTCTTTTGAGGTAACGGTATTTCCCGCTCGGTTTAGAGAACTGCCAAACGT